AATAATCTTTTGTTTAGTGTGTAACAGTTCTAATCCAAATAATCTTTTGTTTAGTGCGTAACAGTTCTAATCCAAATAATCTTTTGTTTAGTGTGTAACAGTTCTAATCCAAATAATCGTTTGTTTAGTGCATAATCTTTTGTTTAGTGTGTAACAGTTCTAATCCAAATAATCTTTTGTTTAGTGCGAAACAGATCTAATCCAAATAATCTTTTGTTTAGTGTGTAACAGTTCTAATCCAAATAATCTTTTGTTTAGTGTGTAACAGTTCTAATACAAATAATCTTTTGTTTAGTGCATAATCTTTTGTTTAGTGCGAATAAAGTTCAAATCTGCATAATCTTTTGTTTAGTGTATAACAGTTCTAATCCACGAGAACACAAAGAGACAAGTGTGTATTTACAGCAAGAAATTTTTTACTAAATTTGGATATAAATGTATACCACATTTATCAAGAACATCTTTTTCCAAAAAATTAAATTCTAAAATGCCAAAATGATGATACATTATCTTATGTCGTGCACAATTTCAAATTAATAATTTGAAAAGAAATGAATCTTTAGTCACTGTTAAAATAAAACAATTCAAACAGGATACATGATGATGACAAACAAACAACTGACCAAAAGCGGCTTTTCGGCTCATGAACGTCAAGTGATGACAAAATTCAGTTATCCTGCCCCATGTACGTCACTGACCCACCCCTCACAGCCAGTGAAGTCGTAAAATGTAATCCTATGTGCTTGGAGAAACAATGTTGTCATATAAGATTTATAAAATCTACATATTATCTAAGACGATATTATAATGTCAGATAAAGGTCAGAATTACATGTAATAACACACTTTAACACGATATTGACAAGTTATGACACACATACAGTTTCATTGGGTTTATAACATTTCACTCCACAGGGTATTTCAAATGTCTCTGCTATAACACGTATACAGTTACGCTGGGTTTATACAAAGTTTTAACACTACAGAAGATTTCAAAACAGTGTCCAGGCTAAAACACATATAAAATTACGCTGGGATTATACAAAGTTTTAACACTACAGAAGATTTCAAAACAGTGTCCAGATTGAAATTTTTTTAGCGTGTTTACATTCTTACAAATAAATCATTTTGGATGAAAGCAGAATCTAAGCAATCAGACCAATCATTTTCTTCATTTGTTCAACCATATGGTGATTGTGGCAGATTTATGTATCTGTTTATCTGGAGAAATATTGTATATATTTGTCTTGGGTAAAACTGTTTGACATAATTACATGATATGAAGACAAGCATACACAATGAGACATGAATACATAATGTGATACACATACATAATGAGATGTGCATACATAATGAGATGTGCACACATAGTGAGATGTGCACACATATGAGATGTGCACACATAATGAGATGTGCACACATATTGATATGTGCATACATAATGAGATGTGCATACATAATGAGATGTGCACACATAATGAGATGTGCATACATAATGAGATGTGCACACATAATAAGATGTACATACATAATGAGATGTGCATACATAATGAGATGTGCATAAATAATGAGATGTGCATACATAATATGTGCATACATGATATGTGAATACATAATGAGATGTGCATACATAATGAGATGTGCAACCATAATGATATGTGCGTACATAATGAGGTGTGCGTACATGAGATTTGCATACATAATGCGATTTGCATACATAATGAGACACACATAATGAGAAAAAACATACATAATGAAGAATACATAATGAAACATGCATCCCTAATTTTCAGTTTTTAGTCTGTTACAAAAATTATGAGGATAATATCAAATCAAAGAGCAACCTTCATCATAGAATATGGTGGCACTCCTGTAGTTGAATTATACATTACTGTTTTGAAAATGATTTCACAGTCGAGCCGATCTTTTCAATGATTTTTAGCCATTGTAGCAAAATTTAGGAAATCTTTTGGCAACAAATTTTTGAGCCAAAACGCACCCCAACATTGATCTTTTTCGGTTCTGTTTTTGAAATGGATGCGGATTACTCACATAAAGCTAACTTTGAGCTGGCTCAGAAGCTCAGAATGCTTTCAAAACTACGGTATATACCTAATTATTATGCATGTCTGATATATACCTAATTATTATGCATGTCTGATATATACCTAATTATTATGCATGTCTGATATATACCTAATTATTATGCATGTTTGATATATACCTAATTATTATGCATGTCTGATATATACCTAATTATTATGCATGTCTGATATTATTAGTGACAAATACTACAAAGAATAAGTTGATACTTTAGTTTTAAAAATTATATGTTATTATGAAAAAGCAAATTTAGCTGATAGTCATCATGGAATTTAAGTGACACCCTGACTGTACTGTACATGATACTAGGTCATCCTAGATGACAGTAGAGCTAAGGAAGTTCACTTCCTGAACAGACTATCCTAATGTCACATGCATGCTGAGGAGTAGAACCTTCACAGCAGAGTGTTTTCATCAATCATAGTATGGCATTGAACTTGCAACCTCCCTAAAGTGAAGCAGGCACATTAAAGTAACTACATTGTATATTCTAAGACCAAACGATCAGAATAACATTGTATTCACCATAAGACTGTCTGACAGAACTCCCACACCCTTATCGTGGCTTTTGTTACGTATGGAAGTTATTTTCACGAGTGATGCGGTGTATCCTGCAGCCATACTTACACGAGCGAAGTGATACAGTACTTTAGTTGAAACAATTTCAAACAATATATGTTTATTTTTATAATGCCGTTCACAAAACCCAGATAACAAATATATTGTCATCAAACTACATGTTTGCATGAAACATCAGCTTAGAACATATTAATTTTTTAGCAAAATATATTTGGTTTTTATAGGCAAAAAAGTCTCGTCTCAACATTTTATTTAGCTACTGAGGAAGAACAAATCACATGTTGTAACAAAATAAGTAAATTTAGCATAAAATCTGAAGGTTGATTTTATTTTCATTATTGTTTCAAATATGTCCATCAATGTCCATTCTAAAGTATATTTCCGGATGGTTAAAAATAATCAAAACATGTAATTTTTTTTTTCCTTATTTATTTCGTTACCGGTAAATGCTGCAAACAAACAAAGTAATAATTACCTTAGAAGAACCTTTCGTTGAATAATATAGCCCGGAAGCTCTCAGCATAAAAAATAATTTTTTCCAACTTCTTTTGTTGCCATCTTTACAATGGAGAAAGCCATGCATTTCTGGTATACGTTCCGTGTTGGTGAAGAGTCTCTGGTAAAATATCAAATCAGAAATAATAATAATAAAGAAATGAGGAGAACATTAAATACAACACTCATTTGGTTTATGTGGCATGAACAAAAATTTTAGACTTAAACACACAGGTCAAAAATCAACTCAGGGTATTTTCAAAAAGGTACAGTTTTACATTAAGTATTACACTGGTTATACAGTATTACCAGTGTGGGGAGCATTCTGACCACAAATTTAGTCAAGGACAAATTTCATGATTACCACAGACATATAATTTTAAAGTTAATAAAAATTTTACTAGGAAGTAGGTACTAGGAAGTCAGTGACATCCACTGGGGTCCTAGGGAGTCAGCAACATCCACTGGGGCCCTAGGGAATCAGTGACATCCACTGGGATACTAGGTAACCACAGTAACTTGCACTGGGGCCCTAAGGAGTCAGTAACTTTTACTGGGGTCATAGGGAGTCAGTGGCTTTTACTGGGATCATGGGGAGTCAGTGGCTTTTACTGGGATCATAGGGAGTTACAGTGACTTTCACTGGGGTCCTAAGAAGTCAGTAACTTTCACTGGGGGTCAGTGACTTTTACAGGGATCATAGGAAGTCACAGTGACTTTCACAAAATTTAATCTTCCTGAATACCATCAAACTATCCAATCATAAAAATGAATAGTGACAAAACTAAAAAGGTTTATAGTAGTTGGTAATCCTATTTTTGTAATCCATATAACCATTAAAAACTTGACATTTCATTTACCAATGCATACACTTACCTCTAAAAGTATTTTCTTTGCCTGCTCCGCATCTTCTGTGAGTGGTGTTTCACATTCCTCTTTACTATCAATCATATGTGAAGGAAAAAAATTCTGGCAAAAAAAAAAATTTAAGTTGCAACTGCTGGAAATACCAAATTTTGTTTAACGGCTTTATAAAGTACATTAAATGTACTTTAAATGTATTCAAGCACTACTTGAAGACTACACACAATATGCATTAAGGCTCTTTCTACTTCAGGTCATACTGTGCAGGTGAATGATGAATGCTCTATTAAACCGTTTTTTGAAGACAGAAGAGATTTCTTGGATATCGGGATCTCATTTTTTTTCATAGAAATTTAGACATTGAGAGCGGTCCTACTGATTAATGCGCAGACACCTGTGGGACTGTCCAGACACACGTGTGGGTGAACGGGGGAAAAATACCTAACATACGAGGCAGCGGCAGCAATCCTTGTACTATATAATATTTGTTTATGCTCAAAATTTGAAAAAGAGTCACGAATTCTAGCAGCTAATCACACTTTTTATGATCGGTGCCCGGACATTTTGGCGAGTCGAGTCCGGCATGTTGTTTACTAATGTTGGTTAGCATTCAGTAATAGGACAATACCATTCGATCCATAGCGTTAATTCGTAGAACCCATTGAGAGTCCTGTATAATATAGGAAATAAATTTTTGGTTACATACCGATGGGTTTTCAAAAAGTTGATACTTGAGAAAGTTTTTTCGAAAGATAAATCTGTTATTGGAATTCTCATCCCATGTCTGGTAGATCTGCAGTACTATCTCATGGTCCTCAAGACAGCGTTCTATAGCCAAGAAACAAACAAGGTCATGTTAGTTGTAATGTAAGAGTCATCCTTTGATGAGCAGGAAGGGGAAACACGAAATGCAATAGCATGTTTTGCTTTTTCATCTGGACTAATTGAATGAAATTCTTGTGTACTATCTGTATATGATTACATGGATGTGGTACTCATGTAATCCAAACGGAATTTAATTTAAAATATCAGTGATGTTCAATATCGTACAATAACCATAACGCATTGTTTTATTTATTTATTTACACAAAATTGTGGAAATTTAATAAATGATGATTATTAGAGTAATAATGCAGAACATAATAAATAAAAATGTCAAAATTTTACCATAAAATTTAATAACAGTACAAACAATATTCTTTTTATTCTCAAGCTCAAAACTCTCTATAAAACACAGTCTCAATGTATGAGACAGCTGTACAAGCAATAAACAAGATTATTAATTGCGAATACTGTAGATAATTTATATCAAGTAGTTCAGCCAGTTGTGAGAGTTAAAGCCAATTTATTTTGTCAATATTGAACAGCCTTTAGAGATCGAGGTCATTTATCTTGGTTAAACCGTCGGTGTTTTCAAACACACATATTAATAACTTGTGTATTTATTAATCGTCATCGTGATGTGTTTTAATAAAGACGACACACTATGAATAAACTCATGGGTGTATATGTGCTTTTTATCCATTTTTAATGCACGACCTCCCCTTTCACGAGCCCCCTCGGTAAGTCGCGACCTTGATAAGTCACATTTTTTGCTTGGATCCCGACACCCACGACTTAGCGAGGGCCACTGTATATGGAACAAGCCATGCATGGCACAGTCCCCGTTAGTTATCAAATTTAAGATATATAGTTTTGTTTATAGTAATATAGCTGGAATATGACCATGTCAGGAACATGATTTTTTAACATTAAAATGATTGACAAGTACTTGACCATATTGAGAGATATTGCTCTGGAACAGCATTCAAAATCAGCCATTTTGAATACATGTATATATATAACATGATGTATAATGAATATATAAAATTTAAATATAATAAGTCAAAGCATTTAAGAGATATGGCTCTAGAAGCCCAATCATTAAAACAAAATGGCTGCCAGTCAGCCATTTTGAATCCAATCTGAAAAATAAAATGACGAGCATCA